GGTTCAGGCCGATCCGCACATGTTCACGCTCTGTACTTCTCAGCTCCCCCATGAGTTCTCTGTAATTTGAAGACCCCAGGAGTTCCTTACAAAAAAGTAAGGCTGTGCCAGAGAACAAGCTGACACGTGCAACCTTTTTAAAGGGAGTTTCTTACAAATTGCTCAAGGAGGCTTTTTTAAACGGAATTCAAGTGATTGGAACTAGAGACTCCCTTACACAAGCAGAAATAATTCTTTACCTTCTGCGGTGTACGGAATAGCTTTAAGGAGTCTACTGCAACACACCAGGAGGTATTCACATAGCCTGATTTATAAGCCCAGCTCTCCACTGTAAAGTTACTGTCCACCCAGGAAGTAAACAAGGCGGTTTTTAGACTGTCATAAGCTAAGGGCTTTTTCATGCATGATGCAGCACAGCTTACTTAAAGGAAAGTAAGGATGAAAGTGAAAAGATACATAACCTAAAAATTATGCACTTATGTATTTCTCAGCAGAAGAGTCCCAACACTTAAGACTGCGGAAACAGTTTCAATTTACTTACTAAATATTTCCCTTCCAACAGGCAGCTATCTTCTAATCTAATTTTTTTTTTTTTTTCCCCACAAAAGAAAAACATTTAGCAACTACAGAAAAAAGAGCAACTTTCATTATAGAACCAGAACGAATGGGATGTATGGACTGGCCATTATAAATTCCTACACAGGACATATGCTAGCTTCTCCATATTCTTCTGTCTTCCTGCATGGCCACTCAGAGCCTGGCAATTCTAAACACATTTCATACGGGAACTTTTAAACACTTAAGTACTCAGAACTACAGAGTCTGCTAATGCTTTATAGAAAAATGAGAGCCATTTTTGCCACAACAACATCACCTCAAAATGTATCTTTAGGCAGAACCTGTATTTCTCTTGGTAATTTAACACTCGTGCAAGTTTGGTGTAAAAGGCAAGAGACTTTACCTCTTCTGAGGGACGTGTCCACTGCTGCTGCAAAAGCCACAGGAAAAACAGAGGTCACTGTTATTATAAATCTGTAGCAACTGTCTAGAAATAGTCAGTTACGAACTATACCTGGGTTCATTTTTGATATTCAAACAGTTTCTCTTCCTCCATAGACTAGCAGAACATCCACGTCTTGTCGGTCAAATATGCCACTGCTTTTAGCTAAGGAAAAGTTTTTAAGTAGTTGATCCCAGTCCAAACCTCATGGCAAGTTAGCTTTCCAAAGAGTGATCTCACTGGTATAGATTAGGTAACAGAGGACAACTGGATACAGCGCTGTAACCAGCACTGAAAAGGTTCCTTGTATTCCCCCCTTACCTCCTCAGTGCTGACATGGGATCTGTCTCAAGCCTGCAGACTTCAGTGAGCCTCGGTTATACAAAGCTAAGAAAGAGCCATTACACTGCAAAGTAAACACTGATGAAGAAATAGCATCTCCAACACCCCAGGTGGCAGCTAAGCTTTGGAACTCGCTGCTGCAAAATCCTGTTGTGGTCAACAGCATACCAGAACTAAAAATGAATTGATTTATAGGGATACTTATGAACCAACAGGAACATTTCTTGGGTGGTAATATTCAGGCTTTGTCCCGAATACACTAAATTATTACATTAGGGAGAAACTTCCCCTGGACTAGCCATTTTGTGCTATGGGGGAAGCCAGCACATTCCTCTGAAACCAGACTCATTTGGCTACTACACCAAAAGGTACTGCTGGTCCAGCCCTGAGCTGCTACCTACCTATTCCTAAGACAGGTCTCCAATAGCTGACATTCCTCTGCACAAAAAGAGGATCTGGACAGACTGATAACCAAAGTTCATCCAGGCAGAACGAGAAAACTAGCATTGGCTGCAAATTCAGGCAGCCTGGGGGCTGACAAGCAGCTCTGTCACCTAGGGCAGCACTCGCAATCCCCAGAAGCAAGGAAGAAACGCTGCAGCAAAAGCAGAGAGGGTTGCCTGCTGGAAGATGAAAACATAACTGGAGCGTCAGCTCCAGGACCAGCAGCAAGAAGGGCAGAGGGGCTCCCGCCCAACACTGAGGATGCTTAACTCTCCCCAGGGCAGGTCTTGCTGCTTCTAGGAAGTCAGAAAGGGGGGGAAAAAAAAAAAAACACCACACACCTCACTCACTGTGCTGCCTATTCCGCCAAAGCAAGCCCCATGCCCAACCACTGCCCAGGCTCCCTG